CATGGTCCTGGTTGACTGCAAGGACACCATTGTTGAAAAAGACGTACACAGCAGCGACTGTAGAATTGGAGCTACACAAGCTGATGTCCACCACGACCCGGAACCACTCAGTTGCACGGTCATCACACATGTACGTTAGCACAAGAGCCCCACTGCCAATTTCATCTTCCAAACCATCAAAGGTTTCAAGAGTGGCACCAGGCCTGACCACACAGCTCTGTACATCGGGGTAGCTGCGGACACTATTATCCAAGAGGCACTCCCTTGGTGTGGAGTCCATCTTCTCACACGTGACCCATCCATTGAGGCAGGTGCAGTTTTCAGTGCAATCCCTTCCAAGTGAGGACTGGCCAGCCTGCATAAAACAAAGGCTTGTTCCAAAGGTAGGAGAACTAAACCTGACCAGCCATGCACTCAGCTAGATGCATTATGTTATGAACCCGCAATGAAATGAAGAGCTCACTTACAGTGATGCAAGTCAAAATTAAGTGATCCCTTAACCACCAAGCTGGTTCACGCCTACCTTCAAATATTTGCCATCATAGACACAGCCACAGGACTCCATGGAGACGCACAGACCAGCATCCGCTAGAAAGCCAGGATCACATTGGCAGCCCTCAAAGCACTTGCCTGTGCAGGTGGTGGGGCTGAGGAGCACAGCACAGGTGTTCCCACAGGTATCAGCACACAGCTCATAGTGGCTGTTAGTTGGACAGGGAAAAGCTGTGGAGACAGCAGAGCATTGGGTCATTAACAGCAAGAGAGCACCTAGGTGAAAAGCGAGTGCTTTCTCAATAGGGACAAGCTTCAAGGATGCCTCTACCGAATATTAGAGCAAGGATCATGGGGACTTACGACAGAAATCCTTGGTCCTCCATGGTTTGATGGCAACCCCTGCATTCTGACAGGCAACGGCATAGGCTTGGATACTCATACACAGGGTCTGTTGGTCTCCATTGAGAGCACACACATCATATACACAATGCTGGAAGTAGGGCTCTGGGTTCACCGAGGCATGACAGGCACTGAAGGGCCCTTGGGTGGAGGTGATCACCCCACAGAAGCGGCCCAACTTGAAGAGAGCCTCCTTGGTCCGCTCGCACACTGGGCAGTTCTTGCCACAGCCATCAGAGCAGCTCACTCCAGGAATGGCCACTTTCCAGCCTCTACCGAAGTCATCGACACTGGGAGCCTCCCTGCCATTAGGCAGGAGAAAGTCATCCTTGGGTTCACCATTGTAGTTGCCACAAAGGCCACACATCTTGCCCTGGTAGCTTGAGGGGACAATCACTTCCACATAGTAAGCCGTGTCATAGAGCACCTTGAGACCAAAGTCAGTCCGCACAATGATGTTGGAGCCCTCCTGGGTGATGGTGATCATTCCATTGTTCATGGAAAGGGGGAGGTTCAACACACCACTGTCAACCTGCCAACAAGTATTATAGGTTAGAGACCAGCAGCAACCCTAATTGGCGTCGAGGCAGTTGAAAGGGTACTTACAATAACATTCCACTGCACCCTTTGTCTCATGGTAAATTTGTGGCCATAGACCCAGACAAATACAGTCTTGGCGACGGCCACATTTCCACTTCCATACTTGACATTTTCTACATCCACCGAGAAAGCATTCAGTGTACCAGTTCCATCGCACACCTTGGCAAGTGTGTAGGTACATGTTCCCTGGAAGTCAAAACGGCGGCCATCAAAGGAGATGTAGTGTGGATCTCCCGAGGCCACACACTTGCCTTCCCCGACAGGATAGCAGCCACGCTTTCCCTTCACCACCCTGCACTGCCCACGTGGGCAGGAGAAGCTCTTGCAGGACACTATGCCCTTCTCCCCACACACACACTGCTGCTGACACATACTCAGGGGGTAGAACACATCACCCTTCCTGTAGTACTGCCCATTGTATAGGCATCCACAGTCAGCTATGGGCACGCAGAGCTCTCCACTCAACACGTAGCCATCGTCACACTGGCAGCCCTCTCGACAGGGCAGGTCGCAGCCTTTGGGGGCAGCCAGCCCATGGCATGTGA